TAAGCAAAAATTTGGCGAGATATCCTGTCAGTTAAAACTAAAATAGTTTCTCGTATGATGACTGACTGTGAAATTTGCTCCATCTTCAGTGTTCCTCTTTCATGAAAGTTCCTTTTTTTGGTATAAGTACTACGAATTTCTAATTCATTGATTCTGATAACAATCTCCATCTCCAAAATATTCAATCTTGCAAAACGCTATTTGCACTCTAAAACACTAAAACCTATCTTACTCAGTCCGTCATTTTTGGCTCCTCTACTTTCGAGCCAGACAAACATCATGCATCCATTAATCAAAACTGTCTCGACTTAGTCTCATTTGTAAAAAAATATGCTTGTTTGGGTTACCACGAAGTTGTCTGCAAGTTCCGTTTGCGAAGAACACGTATCATCAGACACGTGCGCGAATGAGAAGATTAACCTGATAATGAGCCCTAAGAAAATTGATAGCACTAATCTCTTTTGTTACTGAGTTTTTTGAGATGTAAGATCAGTGTTGGAACAGAGTGCTACCAAATACTTAGCAAGACTGTAGCAACTTCTCTTATATGTTACTACAAGATAATAATTCATCTTATAAAATCTTCGCTAAAAAGAAGGGACTATTGTATTGATGCTAATAGAGGAAACATTTTCATCTTAAAAACCAAAAGTTATTGAGTACAACAGAAAAAAGAGGATACTTTCCCATCGAACTCAAAAAAAGGCTTTAAAGAAAAGTCTGGAAGGCTGTCTCTCCAAATTCTACGGCAAAATTTTCCTCGGCCGTTTCGTGGTGACTTGCATGGCTAATAATAAATTAAAACATATATTAAAATCCAGAAAATTTTTGTACCCTTACCAGTATATCAAGTTGTAAATGTCATGAACAAAATAAAATCTTAGAGAACTTCAAAAGCTTTCTCTTGTTGCATCTTAGACGTGATTAAGAAATTCGTATATTATTGAGGTTTTATTTGAAGGAATTATTAGTAGTTTGGCAAAGTGGAAGTTTTAATATGCATGACTTTTTCACAACCATTTACGCATTTCTCTATTACATTTCATCTTGTCCACTATTCTACTTCATTCCCTGAAAAGGCGAACATTTGTAGTCAATTTTTCTCATAAATGGACTGTATTTCACAACTGCTGG